GCTGACCCGACGATAATCAGGGTTTGGAAAGCTCATCAAAGACCATGAAGCCACGACGGGAATCGACCTCAATGCACAAGCAGGGCATCCGACAGGGGAGGGCCCCTCGTGTCACCGGACCCACTGGAGCCTCAGTGGCCACTGTCACTGTGACACTGGCTCCGCTCACAAACGAGCCACCACTTTGGCGGTCAGGTGCGGTGGGGTTCTGGTGGAAGGGTGCTTGGGGTGGTGGTTCCTGCTATCGCTTCTAGCGGCGGCAACTGTCCAAACTGATGTAAGGTACCCGATCCCGCTGGCTCTCGTGTGGTTGGTGATCCTGTAGCGCGCCCCTGGAAATGGCCTTCGGGGACCTGGAAGGTCGAAGTTCCGGGCAACCATTGCTCCTGCTTTGGCCCGCGCTGGCGAATGGGCAACACCGGCTGTTCTGGCGTACCTACATGTTCCTACCTCTACCTGCTGCGTAAGTACTTGGGTAGGTAAGGTACGTAGGTAGCAGTCGCAATTGCTGACGCTGACCACCAGGTGGTAGCTGCCTGGCTAGATGACCTGACTAAGACCCCGTACAAGTACAATGAAGTGGCGTCTACACTTTGCGATGCCCAAGCTTAGGTTCCCACCTAGTGCGAGCAAGCTGCCACACAAAGAAAGAAACAATGCTCGTCGATCGACCAGTGTTTCGCCATTTGACAGCAGACGAGTAAGTCGCACCACGTTCTAGACTCGTTTGTGAAGTGAAGGGACGCGCTGCTGCTGTTGTCGTGGCCCTGGTTGTACCATATGGCCTGCCTGCTGACTACCCACTGGTCTGGCTAATAAGTGGACAAGGGGAAAGGTGAGGGACGCCTGTATGAGTAGGGATATCCTGGAGCGGTGTGAAACGTCTTCTCTGCAGATGCACTGTACGTACAGTAGTGCCACCTGGAACGTGCAACTGCACAGTTTACACTACCTTGCCTGCGATCCTCCATCGAGCTTCGTTCAATCAACGACAGGCTTGGCTTGCTGAGCGCAAGTGGTTGTCATCCAAGCTGGGCGGCAGCGGGGTGTCCAAGCCATGGCAGCGTGAGAGCTTCGTCCGACTGAAGACTCCAGATCCAGGAAACGAAACGATTGGAATCCGGGTTGATGCACAATTCCGTCCACATCAAACCTTCTCACGCTTCATCCCTTTTACCAGTCATCATTCGCGGCCGGCCCGAGTGCCTGAGATTATTGTGCTTGGGACCTCCGCGAACCATGAACCACTCCCCATTTCCTCTTGAACCGATCACCAACACCATCGATATTAGCCTCGAATGGCTCAGCCCGCGCGCCTCTTGCGGCACAGACGCATACTATGTACAGTACATGTACTTGTACACCTACTAGCTTTCCCTGTAATGGCAGCTCCCCCATTCAGTACTTGTGCAATAAAGCTCGCAGCCCAGTTGGGAAAGGCGGGGGCAAGGGGCCCTGGAAGCCAAGACCTTGGGTCCCTGTGCATCCCTGTTAATCGACAAGGATATCGGTCAGGGGCACGACCAGGTCTCATGCTCTCGGCCGCAACCCAAACATCCCCAGTCCCTGACACCCTTCGCATTTCGAGACACGACCTGCAACATCAACTCTGCAGCTGCCCTTGCCTTCTGACGTGCATTCCTGTTCTCTCTTCCCACAGTACCATCATTCACCAGGGAAGCAAAAGGGCCCCTCGTGGAACTCTAACAACCCTCCCAGCGTGCCTGACCAAGATCGTTGCATCAAACATCGAAAATCGAAAATCGAAAACAAGAATCATCAGACGGGACCAGAACATCTGAGCGTCAAACCCAGACCTGCACCGAGCAGTTGACAGTTTGCTCCTTCTTCCCCAATTAGCCTGCCCGTTTTGGTTCCAATCTCAGAACACAAACATCCAGACACTTCTGCGAAGTCGTCCGTCGACTGATCCGGACCTCTTGGAAACGTCACTGGACGTCAATTACCACCACCAGTACCATTGGATAACCTGTCGCTCAGCGTGTCTTTCGATTTTGAACGACCTGTTTGACGACATTCACCGCCAACTGGTTGTTTCTAACCCTGATCGAGGCATCTATGCCAAGTACGAGCAAAGCATCCAATCTCAACCATTGACCACGGAAGCCCAGTATGGCGTTCCCGCGGGAGTCGAGCTTCATGCCGACTATCAAGTGCTCGTCATGTGGAAACGAGGTCGAGATCTCCATGATGGGGGAGCACATTTGCGGCGCCAGCCTCGATAGCGGTAGGTTTCTCTACGACACTCTCTTCATAACAACACAATGCTGACAGAGGTTGAAGCACTTCCTTCACCACAAACCGCTGACACGTTCGCTTCCTACGCACGTTCGCCGCCTCCAGAGGACATCAAATTCAGTCGCACACAGCCACCAAGAGTAGACACGAGTGCTGCGAGCAAGTCAACCCTGACGCACCCCGCAGTTCCGAGTACTAGTAGCTAACAGCATGTCTAGATCGCCCGTTTCTAGGCCAAAGTCAAATAACACCAATCAGCAGTTCTACGGGCTCCCTAAGTGTATCACCCAAAACCCCCAGTGGCGGTAGGCCCGACGACTATTTTCAGCCAGAGATTGCGACCGACTACGACGCAACACCACCACTAACAGCAAGGCGACCTGGCGGATACGGCGGCTTCGAAGAGCCCGACGCGCGAGACGGTGAGCCAAACTATCAGTCAAGCAGTCCCAAGAGGCAACAGGGTGCCCTGCTCCAGCGCATGAATACAATCGCGCCAGGGCCGTTCGAGATGAACCGTAAGCCAGGACCAGCATCGAAAAACGCATTCGCCTCGTTACGAAAGAACTCAACGACCGACGAGATGCCCCCCGTGTCACCGAGAATCACCGAATCCCCCAAACTCGGCTACAGCACTGAACGGACCAGCCCAGTCGCACAAAGCACCAGTGCGCCAAAAGATGGATTCGCGTTCTTGGGCAACAACCACGTGGGTATCGCGCCCCCAAGGGTACCCAGGAAGAATGGCTACGGTGGATTTGGCCCTCCAGGCCAATCACCAGAAGAGTTCGAACCAGAGCCCTTTGGTGTCAACCGATCCGGAACATTTCCCAGACCCAACAACCCTGCCGAAGCTCCTCTACGGACCCCGTCAGCGCCTGGGCCACGACCCGAACGGCTCAAGCAGATTGTCGACGAGGCCCCGAGCCACACTCGTCAACCCTCAATGGGTCCAGATACCTCGAGGCCACCACCGCCACGAACTAGTCTTCTCAGTCCATCAACCGCTGGAAATGGCTCGTCAACTATCAACCTGGCCAACGAATTCGGTGTTGGGAATCCCTACCACTCGCCTTCGGACTCAGCGTCGTCAGGCTACTCTACCTTCAGCCGACCGGGTCACTCCAGCTCCCAAAGCAGCTCACAGACTAGCCCAGTCAGATCGAGACCGGAGAGGAGGAAACCTTCGGACACGTCAAATTTCGATAACATCATGATCGACTTGGAGGTCTCTATGGCTGATATGGGCTCTATGCAGCAAAACGCCCCCGTCTAATGACAGGAAGGTCAACTTCGTCCTTTAACCGCCAGCCTAGCTTGGGCGATGTCCGGTATGATCCCGCCGCCCAGGGACGCCCAGAGAGGACAAGATCACCACTGGCCGCTGGTCCCAACGACTACTACTGGGCCCCGTTGAAACGCACATTCGGCAACAGG